CGGGAAAGGTTTACTCTGCTAGATCGAGCAGAGTAAACCTTTCCGGGAGAAAATGTTCCTTTCCCGGGCGGCCGGGAGCCGCTATCTAATAGGGGGAAAGTTGGGATGTCTGCCATTGTTCGAGGTTACTATTACTACCACTAACACAAATGATGGGGCTTAAAGTCACACTAAACTCAGGAATAAAATCTTAAAAATGCATTCTAGTAGCTTAAAGGAGAACTATGAGATGAGTGATTTCCACTCACCTCATAGTTCTAGCCGACCTGTGACCTATGATTTGAGGATCTGCAGCTGAGTGATACACAAATAAGATACATTTTTGTTAATAGTTAAGCTACTAGAATGCATTTTTAAGATTTGATTCCTGAGTTTCGTGTCACTTTAAATTACTTCAACTTTCTTTTCAGTGTATCCCCAGGCCCCACGTCTAGAAGACTGCAGGAAAAAGTTTGTATATGTTTTTTTTTATTTTTATAAAAGATACTGTGGTGACCAATGCTGGAGTTCCGCTTAACTTTCTACGCTCCTCCCATTTCTTTTCACATAAAAGAGTTCCGTTGTTCTATCAAAAGTTCCAACTTCTCCAACCATCTGACTTCCGGTTTCGTTAGAAATAAGAGGTTTGGCCGACAAGGCTGTACTGGACGTGCCCCACCCGCGGCATTTCCCTATATACAAAGTACATAGCAATAAAGTATTAAAATGAACTAGGTTTACAGTAAGCCAGCACGTTATTAATCTCAGATGCCCCACTCAATATGGCCGCAAGCGGCGACCATATTGAGTGTGGCAACAGATAAATAAGGACTGAATTACTGTAAACCTAGTTCATTTTAATACTTTATTGCTGTGTACTTTGTATATTGGAAAAATGCCGCGGGTGGGGCACGTCCAGTACAGCCTTGTCGGCCAAACCTCTTATTTCTAACGAAACCAGAAGTCAGGTGGTTGGAGAACTCGAGGCGATGGAACTTTGATAGATCATAGAACACCGTCTTCCGCTAAATTAAACCACACCCCTCCCTGTACCGCCCCCTCCCATTCCTCATGCCAGCTTGTTTTGGCATCTTCAAAGAAATGGCCGCAAGACGGCGAACGAAGACATGCGCAATTCACGTTTTCAGTCACAACTGGACAGTGCTCGTGTCAGTAGACGTTGACATTTTCTAGAAGTCTAAAGCTTTGTTAGTCTTCAAAAAGATGTCGGCTTGCCCTGACGGCTGCTTTGTTCGCCGACATTTTGTGGAGGACAAACCTGCAGTCAGGCTCAGCTGCCATTTTCTTGAAGACTCTGTGCGGAGCGGCCCGAAGAGTTATGAAGGTGAGCAGGAGGGGGCTGGAGCCCCGAGGGGAGGGATTCGGGTCAGCAGTTGGGGGGAGCGCAAAGTAGAAAGTGACATTTCGGGGGTGAGTGGAACGGAAGGATATTTTAGTGAAGTGTCTTATTGTTGGAAAGAAGAAGACTGAGGTATGTGAGAGACCTGCTACCAACCAATGTTGTGTAATTTGGATCAGCACACTTTATGTTATATACTTCCTAAACTCTGCTTTATGTTACATGCTATGGACTGCACTGCGTGCAACATACTGTGCAATGTCACGTGACACTCTATATACTGTGCTGTACTACATGACATGATCTGCACCGCCACACTCCAGACACTGTTCTGTACTTCACATACGGTGGAATGTCATATGACACTATACGCTGTGCTGTATGTGACATACTCTGGACCCAAAAGCAAAAGTTTCCCAGCACACTCACCAGCCAGCCTGAATATACACTAACTAAAATAAATTAAATAAATAAAAGCAGAGGTTGTAGCTGCACAACTTTTGCAAAATATGTGGAAGCCACACTGCCTCGTCAAGGCCCCTCTGTGTAGTGCGGTCCTAATAGTAATCTGTGAGAGCCTCCATCTTGGAGCATATTTAGCAAAGGATGAATTGGGTGCAGGTTTGCCAGGAGGCAGCCCAACCTCCATAAGGGCCGGTTCACACCACAAAGTCTGCGTTCCAGAGCATTCGGCCTCTGGAATGCAAGCTGGCCTGCTCCATGCGTTCAGGGGAGGGAGCATTGAAGTCAATGGCACTGCAGTGACGACCCCCACCTGCAGTGCAATCACCTGCACCCGGAACGCAGGCACATTAGTGCCAATGTGCCTGCGTTCGGGTCCTGTGCGATCTGCAAAAATGCTGCAAGCGCTATTTTTGCAGATCGCACTCAGGCACTAATGTACCTGCATTCAAGCTGCATGGGGGGGGGGGGGGGGCGGCGGCGATGAGATTGACTTGT